AAACCAAACAAGTAGCAAGTTATGGCGGAAAAATCACAAGGTTGGCAGGACAAGCCTAGGTCTGCAACTGAATTTGTCACTCCTTCACAGTTTAACTCGACCAAAGCTATGCTCACTTTAAGCCTTAACTTTGGCTTCAATAATATGGGGGTAGACATTCACTTAGACTGGAGATTTAACTCAATGGTAGAGTACTGTCTAGCATTCAAGCTGGATTCCACCAGGAATATTCAGAGCTCGATACCTAACTGGTGCTAATAAGCACAAGTTATAATCCTCAAAGGATGAAATGAAAAACTACAACATCCTGAATACATGAAAGAAGAAAAAAGCCATTCTTATTAGAAGCTATTTTTGTAAATGCTAAGTAGTTACAAATTTCATACAGTTCGAATTTGTGAGACATCTTTTGGTTATGTCTCTGCCTCTCATCTGAGAGACTTATAGCTAAGCATGCTATCAGATATAATGAGTCCTAATCAAAATCCAGACTGTTCTGACTCCAAACCCTACTAAATTGTACACTGTGCCTCTTTTGACAGCACTTTCTGCTCTCAATGGTTTTAACTTGAAAGATGTTAGAACTCAGAATATACACACAAACATACATACATACATATGTATACACACATATATATATATATTTCCAAAGTAAACAAATTTTAGATCTTAAGCAAGGCTCTATCATAATTGAGGCTTATGAGCTGAAACACCACAATCAATTATTTGAAGAATAGCTGTGATTATACAAGAAACAATTATTTGCAAAATCTAGGTCAAAGTTAAGCTTTAAACTACCTATACACACAGTAACACAACCCTTAGCTTGGACCAACAGCAAAGATCTACTGTTCAAAGAGGCCTTGCTGTCACTTGCATTCATATAAAAATTGCCTTCCTGCTGTATAACAGAAGACAATACAATAAATCCATTGAAGCCGGGTGGTGGTGGCGCACGCCTGTAATCCCAGCACTTGGGAGGCAGAGGCAGGTGGATTTCTGAGTTCGAGGCCAGCCTGGTCTACAGAGTAAGTTCCAGGACAGCCAGGGCTATACAGAGAAACCCTGTCTCGAAAAAAACAAAATAAATAAATAAATAAATAAATAAATCCATTGAAAAGTCCAAGACAAAGCTACAAAGAACAAATATTACATTTTATTTAGACAGGCTTTAAGTAGTATATAATCTTAGAATATGCCATCTAAAAATAATTTATTAGTATTGTATTCTTGTATAACTCATAAATCCTCATGAACTATAATCTCCAGTCATCTGTCCCAAGGTGTTCTTCATAAACAAAACCTTTCAGTAAGAACAGACAGAAGCTTCTTAAGCTCCATCATACCAATTTTTGAACCTAGGGTTTCACACACTGTAGCAACTGCTCTACCACTGACCTACCTCCCCAGCTCTTAATTTTTAATTTTTGATAGGATTTCACTTAAGTTCACCAGAGCAGGTCTTAAACCTGTGATTGCCCCACCTATGCCTCCTGAGTGGCTGAGACTACAGATCTGGTAACCCATATTAGACCTTAAGGGTATTCCAAATGTTAAACTCCAATTCAAGCCTTACAGACTTCCATAGGAGAATAGACAATTTACAACAGCAGTTTTTGTTCTAGATGTTGTTGATTTTTGGTTTTAAGACATGTCTCCTGTATTCCAGGTTGGCTTCAACTTGCTACACAGTGACTAACCTTGAACTTCTGATCCTCCTCCCGCACCTCCCACTCCCAAGTGCTGTAACTACAGGGGGATTACATAGTGGTGGAGACTGAAACCAGGGCTTCAGATGCCCGCAAACACTCATAAACCAATCTTCCAGGCCCTTTGCTGTGTGGCAGTGTAACAAGACAAGAGTTGGGACATCCACATTATCCCAGCCAGGAGGCTAAAGGAAGAGGATCATAAATCTGAGGACAGTCTGGACTACATAAGGAAATTGTCTCAAAAATCTAAAAACAATTTAAAGAGAATTTTAATCTAGCTTTTAAAAGCATCTTCCTTGAAGAATATACATTTATCAATTTATAAAAACTGTCTTTACCTACAACTTTACATTACAAGGGCATGCCTTAGCCACTAATGTTGACTGCTCTGAACTAGTGGTGACTAAGAGGGCAGGATTCAACCCTGTCAAGGCCTTGATATGTTACAATGTTGATCTACACTTTTTTTTAAGTGGGAGGGCTAGAACTGTAGCTCAGTGTAGAGGATTTGCCTGCTATGTAGATCTTTTGTTTGACTATCCTAACGAGATAAAACCTCCCTTAAGCAATTCACTGATCTTAAATAAAAACAAATATGGAATTTATAGCTAGGAAAAAGTCATACTATGAGGGTAGGTAACAGATTCGAGGAAATTGAAGAAGAAAAAATATAAACAAGAACTACATTTTTAAAGTATCATTATCTATTAAATCTGTGATTTGCCAGACGTCTAATATAAATAATTTTATCCAATTCCACAAGCTATATTGATATCGACTGAAACACTAAACCAAGTAGAAAAAATAAGCTCAACAGAACTAATACAAGTGACATATAATTACTATAAAATAGATTTTATCCTAAATAAAAGTAACTTTAGTGCATGTCTATCATTTCAGTGCTAAAGAGGCTGATGTGAGATGTTGTACTCAAGGGGAACCTGGGCTGTTCAAGGCTTGCAGAGTCCTGTTTCACCAACCAATGTTACTGCCAAGGGCTGGGGTATTGTAGCTCACTGGCAGATCACTTAGCATACTGCAAACCACTCCACAAACCCCAACACAAACCACTAATACAGAGAGGAATGTGAGCAGGAGGAAAACATATTAACAACCTACATAAAGTTACTTAGAAAAGTCTTGATACACTTCCATCATTATATCCATGGAATACATCACTAATGAATCCCCACACTGAACTTAATCTTGCAGTATAACTCACGGTATTACAAACTTGTTTGTTATCAGAGAGCTATTCTCAAAATACCATTCAAGTCAACTTCATAAAGAACTGAAAGATTATGTCATATTGTTAATGAATTTATAATAAACATTTGTTTCCTAAGACAAAAGACACTTTAAAAATTGTTTTGTTTTGGTTTTTTTCCTCTACTATAGAGAATAAAATAGTCAGGTGTGGTGGCTTGTACCTGTAATTCTAGCATTCAAGAGGCTGAAGCAGTAGAATCAAGAGTTTGGGGCCAACTTGGGCTGCCTATTAGTTTCCTAGGCACTCTGGCTACAAAATGAGACCTTAATTTAATTTTTAAATTTTTATTAAAAAGAAAAAACCTTAAAGAGCAAAAACATCTAGTTAATACAATTTTAACTAAGAAAGGTAAAGTCTCCAGGAAGTGAGCTAGTAAAAGGGGAAATGAAAACAGAGCCCTTGAACTCTAGGAAGCATTTATGGGTGATGTTTACCGTACAGTAAACCAAAGGGAAGAAGTGAAGAATCTGAAGAGTCTTCCCTTCAAGACGGTTTGTCACTAGGTGGTTCTGACTGTCCTGGAACTCCCTATTCAGACCAGGCTGGCCTTGAACTTACAAAGATCCACAGGCCCCAAGTGCTGGGATTAAAGGCATATGAGCTGGAGTGAAGAGTCTTGAGTCAGAAAGTTGTAAATGTACTAGTAGTATATGGTGTAAGAGAAATAATCTAGCAAAGACAAACACCTTAGTTTCTGCAACATTCTATGATGGAACTAAGAACATTCCAGGTTCTAAGCCTCACACCAGTTAAATATACATACAAAGGACACCAAGTCAGGAATAAAAACGCCATGAAAACGAGATTTTCTCCATCCCAAGTCCAAACATGAAATATAGTGACATTAAAACAGTAAATTGCTTTTAAAAACTACATACTGTTCATTAGAAGTCACCTTATTAAATTACACTATTTTTTGTTTGTTTGTTTGTTTGTTTTTGAGACAGAATTTCTCTGTGTAGCCCTAGCTGTCCTGGAACTTACCTCTGTAGACCAGGCTGGCCTCGAACTCAGAAATCTGCCTGCCTCTGCCTCCCAAGTGCTGGGATTAAAGGTGTGCACCACCACTGCCTGGCTAAATTACACTTTTTAGTAAGTTTCTATAGAAGCTGGTAAGGAGGTATGAGTTTATAAACACTGCAAAGCTCCATATGTATAACCTTTATTTCCTGTTATTTAAAGAATCAAAAAAACTATGTTAAAGTTTTCATTCTATATATAATAGCATAAAGCATTCCTGCCCTTGACCTTCCTTCTCCCTAAAACAGGAGTGAAATTTGAGCCATCTGTAAAGACTTCATAGTCTAAAATTTTATTTATGTCAATTCTCATTTGAGCAAGTCAACACACTTCTTAAAAAATGAATTTAGGGCTGGGGTGTAGTTCAGTGGTACACTTTCAGCACTGCAAAATGCTGAAAAGTAAAATTTCATAGCTGCCTATGTTGCCAGAGCACACAAGGCAAACAAAAGCAGATCAACTTTGTTCCATTAGACAACTATTTTCAGTACATAAACATGACACTCTGAAAGAAGAGTTAATGTCGATGGGCAGTGGTGGCGCACGCCTTTGATCCCAGCACTTGGGAGGCAGAGGTAGGGGGGTTTCTGAATTCGAGGCCAGCCTGGTCTACAAAGTGAATTCCAGGACAGCCAGGGCTACACAGAGAAACCCTGTCTCAAAAAAACAAAACAAAATTAAAGTTAGTGTCTGGGCAAGTAACTTTAGGGAAAGAGTACCATTCCTTTAGTTTAGGTTTATTGAATACCTGTTTTTCTAAATGCTTTCATCTCTACCTGTATGTTTTAGTAAACTGGATACTTTCTGGAGAGGAAAAAAACCCGAAAGACTCCCAAAAGATATCGCTGAGATAAGTAAAGAAAGCTGATCAGGGAGCCCTTCCTGTTCTTCCTTTTCCCGCGGACAGAAGACACTTCGTGGACCCCAAACCCAGGCTCCAGCCCTTGGCAGAGAAACATCAAAACCAGGACCGATGCTCGCTCGGACTAGGCACTCACCTCCTGGATGCGCCTCCTGGCCCGCTGAAGCACTTCTTCGTAGCCCTTCTGCCGCAGCTCGCTGAGGCTTTCGTAATACTCCTCCGGATCATCCGTCTCGGTGAAAAGCACCTGAGAAAGTATCTTCCAGCCACACGTGTCCAGGCCGTGGCCCAGGTAGACCTGGAGTTGGTAACATAGAGCATCGATCTCCTGCTCGGTCATCTCGGGGGCGCCCCCAAACAGCACCGTCCACATGCCGGACGGCTCTTCGGGGAACACCGGCAGACACGGCTCCAGCTGTGAGTTTACAGAGCACAGCTGCTGATGCACAGCCCGCAGATCCTGGAAGGAGAAGAGCCCGGCCCAGCTGCATTCTTCAGCCGGAGACTCCTGCTCCGCGGCAGACGGCGGCTGCTCCGAGTCGGGGAGCGGCTGTGGCGCCTCGTCCTCCCTCACCATTTCCAAGACCTCGATCTCCTCGGAGACCGCCCCGGAGGCACTCACCACCCGCACCGACGACACGGGGGGCGCCGGCGGGGCTGGCGTGGTACCGGCGGTCGCATCTCGGGATTCGGCGCCTCTGCGGAGCGGGCTGGCCTTGGCCCGCGCGGGGCTACGGAGAGGACTCTCGGGTCCTTTGCCGGCGAGACCCCGAACAGGATCCCCTCTCAGGCTGCGCGCGCTGCGCGGAGAGCCGCCCTCGGCCCAGGCCTGGCTCTTCCGTGGCCCGGGACTCCGGAGCGCTGTAGCAGAGGCAGCGGCCTCGGGCCGACCCCTGGCCGCCGGGCTGCCAGGCCCACGGCTCCCATCAGACGCGGGCGTCCCCGCCTGTTCCCGGGAACCGCTCCTCTGTCTCTGGGCCGTCCGGTTATGACAGGTTATAGCAAACTTGCCTTCGATTTCGTTCCAGGCCACAATGAACACAAACTTGTGCTTCTCCCGCTCGTCGAATACGTGGGGCCGCACCGCCACCCAGTCGGACTCGAGTGTCTCCTCCAGCGCGAACGACATGGTAGCTCCGGTGCCCGGCCGAGTCTCCGCGGTGGCCGCGCCCCCAGCTCACCCTTGCCGGGCGCCTTCAGCCATCTTAGCGCGCCGGCCTCTCACCCACCGGCTTCTTTGTGGTGCGACTCTCGGAAGAGACAATACACGGCCCGGAGCAGGTAGTTCACATGGTCACGTGCGGCCGGATCTGTTTACAAGCCGCTCGCTGCCGCAGCGCGAGGCCCTGGGCCGCCGGACCGGCCTGCGCGAGGCCGCGGGGCTGCGTGCTGAGGCGCTGAAGCGCGCGTCCGCCGCTCTCCGGGCCCGGCCTCCTCGCCCCTCCGCTCCCGCCGACCGCGCAGAGCCAGCCGGAACCAGTATGCAGACTCCTAAACCTCGAGTCTCAGCATCGCCACAATGTTGCCATTCGGCTGTGACGTCGGC